ATAATTATTTATAGTATTTCAGTTATATGACTGTCATATATATATTTCTTAAGTATAATTATTAAGTATAATTTCCTAATGATTTATATAGTATTCTTTAGTTTTTTTAGATATATAACTGCTATATAATTAACATTTTTAGACAATTTATATCTATTGTCCATTATTTCATTTGAAAATTATGTGTGGTTATAATAATTATATAATACTTTAAACTCAAATAATATTATAAATAGAATATTAAGCATATTATGTCATAACTATTAATTATTTGATAATATGATAATATGTAATAGTCTATTGGGTTATTTTGTATTATCTAATATTATTAACTACTATTCTCCACACCATTTTTGTTATATCTGGCCAAATGCCCATTCTGACATGGAAGTAGCCCATTAGTTTAACGCGCAAAGTCAGAAGGGAGTTGGATGGGAGTTAATGGAGGGACAAGTTTGGTGTAGAATTTTAGAGTCAAACGGACTAAAAAAGTGCATACTAGAGTTAAGGGGTAAAGTCAGTACAGAATACTCAAATTAAGGACCAAAAAGAGAATTAAACTAAAAAAAAAAAAAATTGCAGAGGGAAAGAAACGCCACTTAGGAAAACCCTTAGTTAAATGTCAAATAAAGAAACTATTTTAAGATTTCAACTATTGGCAGTATTTTGCTGACTTGATCCACCTCCGCATTGCCTTGATGTTTCAAGTGATTCTATTATTTGCCGGCTACTTACAGAATTGATGTTTTTGTTCACCCCATGTTTGCCTCCCATGGTTTTGAAAACCTTGAAATTATTATTAATCATACTTGAAATTTTTCTATAATTTTTTAAAAATGATTCATTAGCAACATTTTTGAATAACATTTATTGATAATATAATATTAAAATAATTTTAATTCATTCTTTTTATTTGACTAAATACAGATATATCATCATGTGTTTGTTGTCAACAAATATTGTCATACATATATATGTTTTTCAAGTAATCCCCTTTGTTATATTATGTCAGCATTATATAACCACTTGCAGCCCACCGTTTGGCTCCCATGGTTTGTCCGAACCTTGAAACCAATCTCAACCTTACATGATATTTCCCCCAAAACACCAAACTCTAAGGAGCAAATTATTCTTTTCTTGACTACCAAAACGGAAAACTATTAAAATTATATAATATATATTTAGTATTACTTGGATGGCTATTCCATTGACTAATTATTTTAAGTTCAACTGTCATGAGTCTTCCCAAGACAAACAATTTTTTAATCTTGAGAAAATTCCTGAAATACAAAAACCATTCTTTTCATTTTTACTGTTTCTACATTGAACACTAGCATAACCCGGTTAAAATGACTGTTGAAATAAGTCAGAAGAGAAGCCCCAAAAGCCAAGCTGTTTTGCAAACTACTAATAAGTCTATAAAAGGCAGCCTAACTCGCACATAATTCACAACAAAGAACAGCAATACAATACAGGGAAAGACTAGGCAGAGCTTTTTCTTCTTCATATCAGTTTTTTAAACTTTGAAGATGGTTTATCAGTATGTAGTAGGAGGGGTTGTAGCTTCTCTTTTGGGGTTCATGTTCTTGTTCAATATAAGAAGAAACAAGAACAGTGGAGCTTCTTCAATGGAGATTCAGGAAGGTGTGTGTTTGAAAAGCACAGAAAATGGAGTGCTTTGCAGTTCGGAGGAAGTCGGGTATGCAGATGTAATCATTGTTGGAGCTGGAGTTGCAGGGTCAGCACTTGCGTATGCTCTTGGCAAGGTAAATTGAAAACTAGTTAAAGAATGTATGTCTAGATTGGATTATTGGAGAATGTGTAAATCAGAAATTTTGTTCTTGAAACTATTTAATCACTACAGGATGGACGCCGTGTGCATGTGATTGAAAGAGATCTGTCTGAGCCTGACAGAATTGTAGGTGAACTTCTGCAGCCTGGAGGCTATCTGAAGTTGACTGAGTTGGGGCTTGCCGGTAAGCAGGAAACACATACACTGTCAATTGTTTGTGAAGTTTGCTATGCTTTTATTGGGATTAGATAGTATTGAGCAAAATCCTGCATTTCTTGTGCATGTTGCAGACTGTGTGAATGAGATTGATGCTCAGCATGTATTTGGATATGTACTTTTCAAGGATGGGAAGAACACTAAACTGTCATATCCCTTAGAAGGTTTCCAATCAAATGTGGCTGGGAGAGGCTTTCACCATGGCAGATTCATACAGAAGATGAGGGAAAAAGCTGCTTCAATCGCCAAGTATATTCTTCCTTTCACAGAATGATAGTAAATAAGAAGATTTGTATTCTTTATAATCATTAATTTGAAATGGATCATAATATCTCATCTTTTTCCTAAGTCTGAATCTTCTGTATAGTGTAAGGTTGGAGCAAGGAACTGTAACATCTTTAATTGAGGAAAGAGGAACCATCAAAGGGGTGCATTATAAAATCAACACTGGCCATGAGTTGACAGCAAAAGCTCCCCTTACCATAGTATGCGATGGCTGTTTTTCAAATTTAAGGCGCTCTCTCTGCAATCCTAAGGTAAAGATGCAACACTGTTTGTTTGTGCACTGTTGTTGTGGTGAATTTGTAGTTATTATCAGTTTTGTTTTCAGGTTGACATCCCCTCTTCCTTTGTTGGCCTTGTCCTGGAGAATTGTGAGCTTCCATTCCCCAATCATGGACATGTCATTTTGGCAGATCCTTCCCCCATCTTGTTTTATCCCATCAGTAGCACTGAAATCCGCTGTTTGGTTGACATTCCTGGCCAAAAGGTCCCTTCCCTTTCTAATGGTGAAATGGCTCACCATTTGAAGACCAAAGTGGCTCCCCAGGTAAACAAGAATGAAAACAGTCATCTTCTTTCATGAGTTCTTTCTTATAAATACATGAGACTGAATGAAATGGTTTGAACATTTTCAGATTCCTGAAGAGCTACAAGCTGCTTTCATAGTTGCAATTGACAAAGGAAACATAAGAACAATGCCTAACAGAAGCATGCCTGCTGCCCCTTATCCCACTCCTGGGGCACTTGTCATTGGGGATGCATTCAACATGAGGCATCCTTTAACTGGTGGAGGAATGACTGTGGTTTTATCTGATATTGTTGTACTTAGAGATCTTCTCAGACCTTTACAAGATCTAAATAATGCCTCTTCCCTCTGCAGATATCTTGAATCCTTCTATACCCTCCGTAAGGTAAATGGCAATCACACATTCCTTCTCTAATACATTAGCATTCTGTGATTTCCTTAACTGATTGTACTAACAAATGCAGCCAGTGGCATCTACAATAAATACATTGGCTGGTGCTTTATACAAGGTGGTCAGTGCATCACCTGACCCTGCAAGGAAGGAAATGCGCCAAGCTTGTTTTGACTATTTAAGCCTTGGAGGTGTTTTCTCAAATGGACCAATAGCCTTGCTCTCCGGACTAAACCCTCGGCCCTTGAGCTTAGTTCTCCATTTCTTTGCCGTGGCTATCTTTGGTGTTGGCCGCTTGCTGCTCCCATTTCCTTCACTACACAGCCTTTCAATTGGCATCAGATTGATTTTGGTAGTACATCTCTACTTTTTCAAGCAATTTATTTTCCATACGATCCGATTTGTTCAATTAATCTAAATTCTAAAATATAACCAACCTTATTCATCAGGGTGCATCGAGTATCATTTTCCCCATACTAAAGGCTGAAGGAGTTAGACAGGTGTTTTTTCCTATAACGGTGCTAGCTTACCATAGAGCTCCTCCTGTTAACTAACTAGTCCGAGAACCTCAGAAAGGTGAGTTCACAAGGCAACAACAAAAGTAGGGCTTTGCAGCTTGCATACTTGTCCTAAGCACTAAGCAGAGTGCAAGGAATAGATACATGTCCACTGGCATAGAGTCTCCATTTGCAGCATGTAATAAATTTGTTTAAAAGGTTTTAGGAAATAAGATTAAATTTAATTAGGAGTTTTGAAATCGACATGTGTTGTTTAGCTTTTGTTATCTTTCAGCTTTTATATTTTCTCAATTGACTACGGGAAAACACACATCAGAAATGTAATGTTTTGTTCTACGAATGTGGAATGCAAATTACAACTTTCATATTGCCACAGCTTAACGCTTAGTCCCATCATAGAGAGTAACGAAATTTAGATAGGGAACAGCAACATGAAAGAAATTTAGCATATTTCTAGTTCCATATAAATATATATTATTTTTAATTTCTGAAGTGACAAATTTAAATTCAAACAAATATAGGGAAAAGTAATTAAAAAATTCATGTGAGAAAACCTTAAAGTGTCTATTTGGTTAGATGAACAATTTTATTAGGAAAATTTTTATTAAGAAAATAAATAGAAAAGCACCATATTTTTAAAATAAAAGTAATAAAAATTATTATAATTTGTTACTTAATACGTTAAAAGGACCGGAAGAGTTTAAAGCAAACAACTAACATGTGCAATTTTACCTTGTTGGCCCATCATGAATCCATTTGATGTATCATGCAATTCATTTTCAAAACCCTCTGGTGGTTGTGTCTCATCATCACTACCAACAAAATGTTCATTTCTGCCATATGTTCCGCCTGAAAGAATGTTGTTGTTGCTTCGATCTCTTCTAACGTAAACTCTTCCACTCTCCA